TCAATATAGCTATTTATCAAGTGAAGCTACATGGGATTTGTACAAAAATGAAAGACAAAATGATTTTTTTTTTTTAAAAAAGAAAGACAAAATGAAAATAAACTCAACAACCTAGAGACTAAACAAGATCATTAAACAAAAGAAAATCTCACTCTAATAAACCAAATAAAACAAACTTCTGTGGAAAACGAGAAGCAGAAGATTAAATTTAGTGTCCATGGAAGTTTCTTGTTGAGCCAAAGATTGAAGCAAAAGAATTAGCAAAACCAAGCAAGATCCCAACTTTGACTTGCCCTCTCTTCGGAAACGGACGGCTACCTTGTTCTCTACCACCTCTCCTAGTTCCATCTCCACCGTTTATTTTTCCTCTCCCTTCCATTTTCTTCTTCTCGGAGTCAAATCAAAAAGGTCAAAAGTCTTGTGGTAAAAGAGTAGAGAAGAAGAAGAAAGAAGTGAGTTTGAGTAGATCAAACAAGAAAGTTTGATTTGCTACAAGTTTTAATTACAACCACAAGGGGACTCGTAGGTCTTATATAAACTTCAAGATGCTCTCAAACATAACCTTACTTTTGGCTAATATTACAAGTTTGACCCATTTATTATTTTATTCATGATCTCCTTCGTTAGACGTTTTTGCCCCTCGCCGCCCCCATAGATTCGATCTTAATTACTTTGTTTTAGTTTATGAATATCTAATCAAATCTAGTTTGATTTCTAGAAAGCTTTTGTTTTGATGAAATTTATGGTTTTCATTGTTTTGAAGAATTGTTTATAAATTAATGTATGCTAAAATAATATTTAACATATGAAGTTCATGATATTACTTTAAATTTATCATCAATTAAAATTGATTAGTTTACATAAATACTTATTTGTTCATTCATGTTATTAAAATTTAATTATTGTTGTTTAAAAAAAAATCAATTACATCACCGGTTAATTCTTATTTTCTTTATTTCATACATACATTTGTTATTTTGTGTTTGTCTTTTTTTTGGTCAAGCCATCTATACATTTGTTAATAATGAAAATCGATGATCTTATCTTCTTTTTATTACTTTGTTGAGTGGGCAAATCATAATCATAATCATAATCTAAAAAGCATAAGAGATAGAGACCTATCCAAGATGCATTGCATCGATGTCTAAGCTGTTATGAAAAAATTAAGTTAGCTTTACCTTAAAGTGGACACTTGTGATCCCACTAGGATAAAAGACTAAGGGGAGGTTATTGGTAGATGGATTTTTAAAGATTTTGAGAATTTGT